TTATGTTGACAAACATTCCTAGAACCCTACTTTTAAAGGATCCACTGGATGGCTTGTTGCCCGGAAATATCCGGTCGAATTAAATTTCTACTATTACCTATCTAGTAAACCTAGACACCCCTATTTTTGGATCTTCAATCCTTCTGAATTCCTCCCAACTAACTTGCCAGGCTTGACTTGTTAGTTCTGTGAAAGGAAAAGTACACCTTTCAAATGGTTCTGATGGACGTGGCGCTGTTGCTGGTTTTGATACCTTTCCCAAATTTGTTTGTGTTCAGTCGTGTAGATTGTGTCTTTTATAGGGAGAAAAACCCACTTAGAACCAGAAGTGGGAAAACTCTGTTTGTACGAAACTGAAATGGAGATGATCAGTGTTTTCTTAAACCTGGTTGTGTTTTGTGTCATAGACAGTTTTTTCCATTCCTTAAATCTTTCACATGGTCCTCATATGATATTGAACTATGGACCTTGTGATTGTGATCTGGAAGCACTACCACTGTGCTATAGACCCACAGGTCTTTTGAAATATGAGATAATAATAAATATATTTATTTATTTTTAATAAATAAACTTTGATATTTAAATTTTCATTAAATATTAAATTCAAATTCTATATATTTATTTATATAATTAATATTAAAAAGCAAGATAAATAGATTTTATCAAAAAAAATTTTTTTTAATTTCAAGATAACTAAAAATAATATCTAATTTATAAAAAAAAAGTTCAATTCACTTACTATATATTATAATTAAAAATTTCAATCAAGGTAAATATATTGATTAATTTAAAAATTTTATTAAATATATAATATTTAATATCTTAAATATAAATAATTTAATAGGTTTACTCATTAACATAAAATAATAAGTAAATAAAATTTTATTTAAAAGTTAATAATTATAAATAAAATTGCCTCCATGATTTGCAAACACAATAAATATCAATAATAACTTTGTTTAAATAAAAATTTTCTATTAATTATATTTTATTAAAGTAAAAAGTTTCTAAAATCCGATTAATTAATTTATAGTAGCATGCCACATGTGCAAAGATTATATATATACTTGAAATAATGTTTTCCTATTATATATAGCATAATTTATCATAACATTATATAGAATTTAATCAATTTTAATTTAACAAATTAATTTGTTTTTAAAAATTTTGAAATTTAATATTCAATTATCAATTTACAAGTATTTTAAATCTTTCTTTTATTATTTCAAATTAATTAATTCATCAGTATGTGATAATAATTTTGCCAATAATTGCAAACAAGGTTTTTCCTATTTGTGGTTTGTGACCCGTAATTAATGATTTCTTTTCAATTTTCAATGATAACTTTGTGCGCACACACTCCTTTATCATCAAGAACCAAGGCCGTCGGCAATGCTCGCTCAGAATTTGGAAATTTTCGTTAAACGACCCCTAAGAGGAACCTGGAAACCTACGCAATAATTACACGCAGTTTCGTAGAGATTGATATTTTCCACGTGAGAAGATGCTTAGTGTGATTATTTATACGTGAGAGTTTTTGACAGTATGGGTAGCACAAGTAATTTGCAAAGACACAAACATGGCATGATTTTTTTCATTTAATGTTTATATTATTATGCAATCATTTTTTCATATTTTAAACAGCATTCATTAATAAAGGGCGAGATGAGGGCATCATGTGGAACCAACAGAAGAGAAAAGTTCGGCATTCCGATTATGGCAAGAAAAAATATTTACAAAATATCAGTTAATTAGTTGAAATTCAGAGCACGTACGCACACTCTAAACCACAAATTACGACGGTAGAATCACAAGGCAGAGAGGTGATAGGTGTATAATCGACCGGCGTGTGTAAAGTGAAATGTATTATGAAACCGATGAAACATTTCTTTTAGCGCAAACCTGGAAGGGATATACGTCCAATAGGACAAAAAAAAAAAAAAAAAAAAAAAAAGGTTTTGATTGTTGCAAATTGTGGGGAATTGTTAATTCTCGGTCAGCATGTATCAGCCTTAATAAAAACATTAAATAGAAGCCAAGCCAATAAGGTAGCAACAGCAACAGACCACATACAATCAGTCAACAGTGGACCACGTAGAGGTGAAACCGAGTCATTTAATCTTTTATGGACCGATATATGTGTGTGTGTGTGTCACATGCAAATTACAACCTTATCAAAAAAATATTATTTTCACAATACTACCTGCAATTGTAGCATGGTTGTATACGCTAACAACGACACATAAATTCTTATTCTTTTTCATGACGAAAAAGAAAGATGTGCGTGTAATTCAATTCATGCTGTGCGTACTTTTTTGGTGTGTCTGTCAACAATTGATGGGCGCGGAATGAAAAAAAAAAGAAAAGAAAAGAGTCAAGGGAAATAATAACAATAACAATAACATCTCGGACTAAACCCTACAGTATGACAATATGATATCGGGAGGAGGTGGGCAGGTTATTGTCCAATTTCTTTCTAACAAAGTAAGAGAAGAAGGAAAATTTTAGCAAAGAGACAAAAGAGGGAGAATGAATGAATGAGCGGGTGTCGGTGTTGATGTTGATTATTGAAATGAACTTGTCGGGAAAACTAAATGGATTAATTGAAATCACGCAGAGATTTTCGGAGGCAGCGATAAGGAAAAAGGAAAGCATGAATAATTTTGGACATTGGGACAAAAATGATGACGATGATGCAACTGTGCCAAACTATGTAAAACCAGCTCATTGACCCTTAAACTTCGTTTACAAATCGATTCTATTATAGATTAATGATCCATTAATATATCACGATTCTCAAACTACTTAAACACTTTCTTATGATTAAATAATTTATTATCATATATATAATCGTCACAATCGGCGTCACGCACCGGTAATCGTCACGATGTATGGATGACATCAAAAAAAAAACATATTTTTTTTTTTTTTTTTTTTTTTTTTTTGCGGCTAAAACTACCGTCGTAATCACATTATCATTATTAATCTCTTGTTCCCAGAGCCCGCATCAAGAAAAAATCATGTTCATCTCAGCCTTATGGCTACAACTATGAATGGTTGGGTCTTGAACTCTAAGAATAACTCTAAGCGAGAAGAGAGTTTACGAGCGAAGGTTACCACACCATAATAAGGTCAGTGTCCCCCCCCTTTTTTTTTTTTCCTATTTTTCCATCGCATATTATTATGTTGTCGCCCCCTCTTTTTTCTTTAAGAACACCCCCCCTCCCCATCAAACAAATTAAACAAACAACGCAACAAGGTGAAAATCCATCCAATAAAGCAGGTTTTTTTTTCTGTCGTTAAGTGTAATCTTAATTATAATTTTTATACACCGAAAGTTAACAGATGTATGTATGTTTTTTTTTTTTTTTTTTTTTCATCATCATTTTGCACCGACAATACATCGAGCAGGGATTATTCTTTTTTTTTTTTTTTTTCTTAATAATTACAGTATTATACTCGCAATATAAATAATAAGAATAAATCAACGTCAACATGAAGAAATAGTTCTCGCCTGCTCGTATAAATAGAATCAATACAAATAATCACTATAAAAAGTATATAAACTTTCTTTTTATATTAAAACCGGTTTGAAAATGCAGTCTAAACATATCTGTATAAAATAAACTATATTTATTTTGAAAGACCGAAGAAAAAAAAAAAAAAAAAAGAAAAGCCATTTACATACATGCCCATCATTTTCCTATCATCCAATTAGTATAAATGATATATTTTATCTTTGTAAAAAAAAAAAAAAAAAATACACGAGCTTTATTAATAATAATATATTTATTATAATATCATCTAAAATAATTTGTGACTTCAATATATCATTTTTTTTCCTTTCATTCAAAAACAAGTCTAATCCAAAAAAATCTTTTTATATATGCTCAATTTAAAATAAATCAACAACGTCCTTTTTTATAAATATCAAACTATTATTTGCTTTTTATACTATCACATTCCCCACTTTTTATATATATAAAGTCACGCCAATACACAAAAAAAATTTATAAAACCGAGGCTTTCCTTCTAATTTTTTTTTTCAACACTTGTAAACATCGAAAATTTTCTTTACTTCTTTTAGAAGAGAACACAAGCTCTCGTCACTTTAGCTATTTCTTCTTTTTCTCTTGAGCAAACAATACCGCTTTCAACCTTCTTACCAAGCAGCCTTTCACACGCCTAAAACAAACACCTCGAGCGAGCAACTTGCAAAGAAAAAAAAAAAAAAAAATGTATTTAACCACCACACTCGCCTCTTTACCCTCGACTTCATCAAATTTCTCTTCACTACAGACCATAAATCTACAGGGAAAACCATTACCGCCAATACCACATCGTCAACAACCGTTACCTCAGTTCAACAATCTACAGCAGCGAAGGGATCAATTCGCCTTCTCCACAAGGCAGGAAAAGTCAACGACAATGCAACATCAATTCTACTCATCCCAACATCATCAGTCAAATAACAACACCACCACCACCACCACGTCAACGATAATACAAGATGTCTCGTTGTTCGAACGGGTGCCTTTGGAACGTGTGGCAGATTTCGCTTCACATATGACTTGTTTCTTGTGGTTTGGTGATTATATGATGGATCCGCATTCGTCGTCTTCATCAATAATTGCACCACCCCCAGGCGGGAATGGTCACGGGAGATTCATCGATTACAAACCGAGAGATGCGTTCAAGAAATTTTGCCGTGATGTAATTTCGGCGACGCAAGTCTCGCATTCGGTCATTCTCTTGTCGTTATTGTACATTCACAGGATGAAGATAAACAATCCCACCATCAAAGGTCAAAATGGTTCGGAATATAGAACGTTCACTGTTGCTCTCATGTTGGCCAACAAATTTTTGGACGATAACACCTACACAAACAAGACTTGGTCGGAGGTTACAAATATTCCCGTTTCAGAGATAAACACCATGGAAATGGAATTTCTGAGTTCTCTGAACTATCAACTGTACGTCTCCGAGCAGCAATTTTTCGATTGGGTTCGAAACATGGTGTCTTACGTTTCGATTGGCGATGACCATCGTAATAACGATGATTCCGCACCCGATTGCCAAATGAATGTTTCCCAACGTTCACAATATTCGCAAAAGCAGCAGCCGATTATTGTTCCCATTCAATCGATATCCACTGGTTTCAAGAGGTCAGCCGAGCAAGCATTCGTGGACGGAATGATGGTGTCGCCGCCAAAGAGGACAAGTTGTTATCCAACATATCAACAAACACAAAGATTGGTGGTTCAAACTCAACCTCAACGGATGTACACTCAGACATTCGCATATCCGACACCACCGCCGAGCACTTCGAGTTCGCAACAACTTGCTTATTACAACTTGCCGACCACCGCTTCTTCGAACAGCGGCAGTTCGTCGAATGTGATGTTCGGTCAACCATCGTCATCGTCGTCATCATCATACCAGGTTAGGCAAAATTACACTTTGGATCCGATGAACGTTTTGTATGCAACGAGGCTCAACGCTCGACCCGCGTCCTCGGCATTTCCAATTAACAACATGTCGTTCACGACGACGGTGGTGTAATGACGAAATTCACGTGACATCAATTCAATCCTTTTTTTCCTTAGTTCTGAAAGAAAATTCCAATATCATAATAAATAAAGAACTTTTCAATTGTAAAGGCGTTTATTTGATAGCGCAAATCCATTTGTTTTTACACTTTCTCTGTACAGAAATTTTTTTTTTTTCTTTCTCTAGACATCTTTCCTCTTTGCATTTGTATTGTAATTTTAGCATTGTTTTCAAATCTTTTTTTTTTTTTTTTTTTTTTTTTTTACACAGCAAAATACATAACATTCATTCACCACATAAATCTCTAATTAGATTCACAGCCGATTAAAAAAAAAAAAAAATTTTTTTTTTCCTAGTGCTAATGTGAAATTTTTTTATCCCTCTCGCTTTACAGTTTTTCGTAAGCTTCTTTTCGCGCAAGACGAAAATTTCGTTTTGCCAAGTAAGATTTTCTCTACATATTATATATATGTAAACATATATAACTATAAAATACAAGATTCTTCAAGAAAAAAAAAAAACCAATAATTAATAAAATGAGAGAATAAAAAAATCTTCAACTAAATTTGACGAGGTTTCTTGTGATTACCTTCTAATATGGATTAAGGGGGAAAGGAAGTATGATTGAACTTGCCTTCCTTGTTTTAACACGTGTGAGGTGCCAAGAATTAGGGTGGGTGTATGAAGAGCATCGACGTGCATCTATGATCTCGGCCTGAAAGTTTGATCGGTGCGAGTATAAAATTATTTCGCAACCGGAAAAAAAAAAAAAAGGACAACGGAAATTTTTTCTCTTCTTTTTCCCCCTGTTTCATCGTGAAGAAGGATGAATTTTATTTTTATTCTATCAGAACTTGGAACGCGTGAGAGCAAGAGCGCGGCACGGAACCATGATACTCCTAATAAATATGACATGTACTTTATTTATTGCATCAGGTAAACAAACGTGCGTACTTCACTGGATTCATTTGAACGACGAACGAGACCAAAAGACAAACCAATCGCTCATCGCTTTTCATCGTGAAATCATTTAACAGCATCAATCGCCCCTGGTAAATGAAATCATGGTTAGGACACACGCACATACGTCCAGCTTTTTTTTTTTTTTGTTGAACGAATAGGAATGTGGGAAGGAAGGAAAGAAAAAGCCGGTTTTTGGAAATTCGAGTTTTCTAAAGCGTAAAGGTTTCCCACTCACACATTCTTTATAGTCTCGTCCCCTTTGTATGCCGATCACAAATATACGATGTGAATAATAGTTGCCACTTCAAAGAAAGAGATTTGCTTTTCTGGGTAATGTGATTTTCGATCTTCGTGAACAAGTGACCATAAATGCATCCCTATCCGCAGCAAGTTTGCCCGCGTTTTTTTTCCTTTAACACCAAGCCACCATGCACCCTTCTGCTGATCTCGCAATGTGTTGGTCGGTCGTTCTATTAAACAAAGTAAATAAATAAATAAAAAAAAATTTACACAGGCGCACACAATATACTTCAGCCGGGCAATCTTCGGGTCACGGTGCATTATCGTTTTTTCTATTCATGCATCACCCATACTTTTTTCCTCTCCCAGTATACACTGTATATGTGTACACAATTTCTATCTACTACTATTATTATTATTATTATTATTATTATTATTATTATTATTATTATTATTTATTATTATTGTTATTCTTCTTCTTATTATTTATTATTGTTATTACTGGCTACCGACTGGTGACAAAGTAGATGCACATCAGAAATTATTATGGCAAAAACAAGATTGCGCCCTCAGTTACACTCATTCTGCGATTCAGGGTTGTTTCCGGAGATTGAAGATTCGTTCGTGGAATGGAAGACCCAAAAAAAACCCGTCTCCCCCGAACGAGAAATATGGTTCGTGGTGTTTGTGGCAAAGTTCCAACGTTTAATACCTGATGAGTTATGTGTGACATATTATGAATACGTAATGTGCATGTATGGCGCATTGCCGAATTTGGAAAAATCGTAATGAAACTCTCGAGGTCAGCAAGAATCAGTTTTCTTCTTTTGAAAGAGAAAGATTCGTCACGCGTGTAACCGGATCCATTGACAAGTGATCTTGGGAAATCCGCATTTTACCAAAAATTGCAATTTACTAAGCGTCCTTTCACTTGTTTCTCTCCTGGAGGCAAACAAACGCTTGGTTACGCGATTGTCCTTCTTTCACGCAAAATCGGCTGCGGCCGTCAATAACGTCGGAGATCACCTGATGTGGCTTTACATCAGCTTCTTTGTCATACGTACCTGTCATCGTGCCGTGAATTTTCGGTTGATACGACGATCGTGCACTAATTTGGTAAACCTTTTTATGAATAATCTTCCTAATTCGGCATCCGCTCCCACTCTTCCACTTTGTTATTTCCCCTGACCTTAGTTGTTTACTTTAGTAGTTGAAAATAATTGGTGGAAATGCAAACAGAGAAAAAGTAAACATGACGTACCTGATTGCGTATTCTCGGAAATCTTGCCCCAAAAATGACTAGAAGCACGAGATTTTCATCTATCCAGAAGGGATCACCTGCCATTTTGGTTTCCCTCAATCAAGCCACTCCCTAACGTTTGGTTGTCGTCGGTTCTTTCGAGAGATGATTGCGATGCTTAACCCCAACTTGGCGAGGGGAAGGAAAGGGGAGTGAGGGAGGGAGGAAAGATCCGCCTAAAGTCGAAAACCCTCTTTGGTTGTACCATGACAACAGAAAGAAGGGTTACCACCGTCGTGCTAGCTTAAAGAAACCTAACCACTTGGTAATTCAACCTGCCCTAGAGAAATTCCGTAGTTGATTCCTTAGAACCAATCAAAAGGGCTTAGCTTTTTTTTTTTTTATCGTAAGTTGATCTTTTTTTTTTTGCCTAGGCGTGCGCGCACTAACATGTGTTGTGCGCGTTAACTTCACCGATTAGATACAACGGCGCTCCTTTGGTGATTGTTTACTCTTTCACAAGCATTCTCTTGCTAAATCCACTACCCATACACGGCACTGCACCGCGCATTCTCTGCATTCTACAAAAGTGGTCCTTTTTCTTTCTTCTTTCTTCTTCTTTTTTTTTTTTTTTTTGAAAAAAAAAAAAAATCATTTACCAAAACACCCCAACTCAACTACCCCGCGTCACATAATGCGTCACGTTACTCGACTTATCGATTCACACCTATCACCCGCCGACGATTGTTTGTTATTTGTCACGGAGTAATCATGTGATGTGCAGCCAAATAAATACATCCGCTAGCCGCATTTGCGAGAAGCCTATTCTCTAAAAGTAAACTGGGAAAAAAATTATATACTCCATGTGCACCACATAATTATTTAAATGACGACCGTGCGACCATAACATTAGTGTCAGCGTCCCGAGCTCGGCACCCAATTACCCTGTCAGAAAAAATAATAGTAACAATCGAGCCATCGGGAATTCAAACAACCTTATACAGAACCTTAAATTTAAATAAGCCCATCTTTCACGGTGTTAATTTAAGCGATGCACGTACACCATTCGCCAACTTGTCCGGTTGACTAACAGGTATCATAAAGTTTTGCTCCTTGTTCGGGAAGTGTGATGCCCCTGCGAAGTCAATAACAATACCAACATGCGGAATCTTTGTCACCTTACATGTACTGTACATACGTTACCTCCGAGATTCCGGGAATTCCTAAAGCGACGATCTTTAGCACCTGTATGATCGATTTGTATGGTTATTTGGCACCCCTCAACCGCATAAAGACTTGCTTTGTCACACTGTTGGGAATTTTCTTTATTTTGGCTAATAATTCTAAAAACGGGAATAATTTTGATTAACATTTGCCTTTCAAATTCAAGCCTCTTTGGAATGATGAATAAATCCTTGGTTTAAACTCGTTTTACAACAGGTACCGTCGGCTCTTGCTGGCAATCTACCGTCGTTTGGGATGATGCTTTCTTTCTTTCTTTTTATTTATTTATTTATTTATTTTATTTATTTATTTATTTATTTTTTTTATTTATTTTTTTTTTTTTATGCACAATGAATCACGCACAGCAATTTCCTCTTGTGCACTCCACACAAAGTTCCATCTTCTATCATGGATCACTCACTATCAAGGTTAACGATAAGGTTTGACCACTCGGCGCGCAACGGGACTGGTGCACCGAGAAGCCCAAGAAGGCTTACCTGCCCACCGTTTCATAGTCATCATACTGTTTGTTGGAAACCACAATTGTTCATTCTTTTTCCCTATATTTAGATTGTACGAATGATGCAATGATTGGATTGACCTTTTTTTTTTTATTTTTTCCTTTTCGGGGAAATGCAAACCGGAAAGAGGAAAAAAAAAAAAAAAAAAAAGGAATTCAGGATTCACATGTGAAATTCGCTTTTATGGAATGATTGGTTAAGGTCTTCGACCATTGAGGTACTTAAAGGATGTCGAGAAAACGGTGAACCACTGGCTTGGACGACCTGTTCCGCCACTAAAAGTAGCAAAGCAATGGCTGGCTGGCAAATTAAGTTTGACCGTTTTTCATTCTGCGATCTAATCGTCATACTGATTTTAAAATGGCTATGCATTTAATCTAATCCAATCTAATCCCGAGTTCATTTTCAGAATGTGGCTAGAACACGTTTTTCTCAATGGCAGATCGCTGGCACCAAAGACGCCCAGCCGTCATAATAAGGGATTGCCCCTTTTCCGGTTGGGGCGTCGGTCCTGTCACATCTCAATGGCGCATTCGAGATAAGGGCTGGCCTTCAAAAAAAAGAATTGAGATGATGCTCACTTGATGTCACATTCACGAGGCAGACGTGTCATCGGATGATCTTCCCTATTACTGGCTGCGCCTCATAAGGTCGCCTGAGATTGGTTTTACTGCATATGGAAGTAAAGCACAACCTACTTTTTTTTTCGCCTGTTCAACACGTTATTTAATTTCCCGAATAGGGAATTGAAAGACGTGGGGAAATTATATTAAAATGTTGATTTACATTCCAAACTTCACTTTAAGGTGACTCATTCTCCATTGACCGACCATTTGGAGTTTATTATAATTACATTGTTGTTATTATTGTTCGTTATACAATGTTTTTGGTGTCCGTCAACCGTTTTACTTTCACCTGATTCCCAATATATTTGACGAGGTGCCTGTAACAATCTTCTATTATTCTACTTTTGACGTTAACCGGTGAGGTGAGAGGCGGTGTAATCTTGGCGGAATTCAAATCCGCCATTATTTATCTATTTATTTATTTGTTTTTGTTTCACGCCGCGGAGTTGAAGGATGGTTCGACGACAGCTTGAGAAGGAAGATTGAGATGTGACGACGACATGATATTGCTCTTTTGTTAATTTGAGGCTTAGGGTCGTGATGGATAGTGGAAAAGAAAAGATCATTACTTGATTTGCCAAATTATTTTCTCTTTCACGGGTCATCTATAATTAATTAATTGAACGACCTCAAAAAAATTGATTGAGCGGTTGCCAAAAACCGACTCCTTTTTGCGTAATTCATAGGCGCTATCCATTTGTTTACTTTATTCGTATTTGGCGAGCATGATGATGTCACATGCATGATTGATCGTGAGGGTAGATGAAAGATAAGAGGGATAAGGATTAGGTTTGAACGTGTGATATGGATTTTGAAAATTTACTTGGCTAATGAAAACAACCGTACAGACACGTATTACACTATACTGTATACATTGAATGGTTACCAATTGAGAAGTGATCAGATGGATTTGACCTGGGTCCGGTGTAACATCCACTGTGGGTAGATGTTACACGCCGCATCTTTTTCTCTGCAGTTTGAACGGTTGCACGAGCATCACACCGTTAATCAACAATAGAATGAGGGAAGGATGATGACGTCGCGAATTGGGAAAAGGTGAGCAATAAACGGGTCCCGTGATCCTATCGTGGTTCCACCGATATTGCGTTTCTCACCGTTCACAGAATAACGGGGACGCATGCACTAGCTAAATCGCGTGCTTGTTTATGTATCCGATACACGAACCTTCCACGACGATTCCACAACTTTCCTGAAATGGATGAAAGAGTATCGAGAGGTGAAGGAAACAATTCCATCATTATAATAGTGTGATGGCCGTTTGAAAATTAAGGTTTTTCCTTCCGAAAGCATGATGCGTCTGGATGAATCTGGAAGTTGGCGTATGTACGTTCGCATCTCTTGGGTGCGTCGTTTTATTTGTAAATTGTGAATTGATTGGTTAGTCGCTGGGCAGAATCTTTTTACTTCCGGTTGCATTTCCGTACGTCAAAAGAGAAAGAGTACGAATTCATATGCATTAAACGATTACCACAATAACAATTCATTTCTTTCATTATTCTTTCGTTACCTTTTAACCCAACTAGTTTGCCACAAACCCATTTCAAGCCATCAATCGAAACATTAATGAAAACGCCATCATACCTTTATTTGAAGATGAAAGGAGTGAGTCTTTATCTCTCCACCCCGTTATCGTTGACTGTGAGAATGTTTTCTATTTAATCCGCGAAATTAAAACTGGCGCATGTGACCTGCTTGCGTTTTCTAATTTGACTAAAATTCGTTGTCGATTGCAAGTAATGGAGGCAGCCTTCAGAGTCGAATTGACGAATGCGGCTCTGCCTTCTCCCCCAAAGTAAGATTCTTCATGCACGATGCACAAAATAGTAAACCCGTGTATGTATCATAGAACTCCCTTCACCATGCTTGGTAGAGGTATCATGCACTCATGCAAGAACAATAACGACCTCACCTCAATAAATCAATGTATATGTCATTGGTCGCATTAGCGATTTAATGTTTCTTCCTTTAGACCGATCAGTGATTACATAACAACGTTCAATGCGTGAATAATTTCTTCTGCGCACGCTGCCATGCTGGAGTGTTACACGCACTGCGTGTAGTATACAACAAAGCAAAATCCCATTAGGTCGAATCTTTGAAATAATTGGTAGCGCACTCAAATGGCACCACCCGCATAACGTGAAGTTCGAGATTATACGCGTCTTCCCGATCAGATACGATGTTGCCCTTTGCCTGTTGTAGTTCTATCCATCTGTGTCTACATGCTATTAAAACTTTATTACCCAATACATTTGATTAAATCTCTCATCTTTAATATGAAAGTCTGGGATATTGTTAAATTATATTTTTCCCTGCATTATCCAAATTAATAAATAATATTAGCAAATCGAGTCATGTACGTGCGTAAGTTGACCAATAAACATTCGGCATACACACAATTCAAGATTCGTAAATCTCTTTGAAATCGTTTACTTCAAGCAAACGCCCAATTCTTTTAGAGAGAAAAAATGTGCAGTTTTTTTTTTTTTTTTTTTTTTTAAAAAAAAAAAAAAGATTCTTGATTCAAATCCTGATTTTTTTTTTTTTTCTTTTTTATTGTTGCTTCTGAATCTCCGAATCATCGTCCACTCAGAGTCGTCGATCTCAAGCCTGACAATAGATGAAATGTGCATGTCACATTTTTCTAGACTTTAAGCGCTTTTTCGGAAACGAAGAACAAATCTATTTTGTGTAGAATTCGATAATGATTGCGCGTGGAGATTGTTCGAAATGGGGTAAGAAAAACATAAGACGCAAAAAAAAACAAAAAAACAAAGAGGCAATAGAGTTCCTTGATTATATTCTTCGCCTTCATATTCGTGAAATCCTTTGTTTGATCCCACCCCTCTTGTGTCCCCTGGCACGTAAAGATTGATTATGCTATATTTGTCTAAAGTAATGGACAAAAAGGGAATATGTTGAAGATTTGAGAGTGCCTTCATCCTCTATTTGATACGCACGTAGAAACAATATCACAAAGTTAGCATAGTTCCTATGAACATAAAAGACAAGAAAGAAAAAACTGTGATATAAATATTTAACAATGCTCATTAAACAATGACATAATACTTGTGAAATGCTCAATTATTATTGGTCTAGATAAATGGCTGTCACCAGATAGATAATGCAAGCATTTATAATCGTAGTGGCATTTAATCTTCCTAGTTACCAAACAAAGAAGTTTAAACAAGGTGGGGTAAGAATCCATTATTATAGAGTACAATAAAAAATCATGTGTTATTCATTGGAATCATCTTGGAATAGTTTCAAGATGTTTATATGACTATACACAGGTCATCCTCTATTATTACTAATAAGGCCAAAACTGTTGATGCATTGGAGTTTCGAGTCACACTCCTCCCTCTTAAGTCTAGAGGGTCAAATATCGGCGCACCTTTGGATTGATTTGTCAATTGGTAAAACTTGGTGTACAAAGGCCTCTTTGAATTCGGCGAGTAATACGTGCCCCGAGTTTTGAAAAGCGCAAGTGCCGCGGACTCGGTCACAGAGTCCCAGGTTTTAATTGAGCTCTCTTGAATACTTGATGTCACGAGCCAACATTATTTAAAACGGTAATTATATGCAAGTTGTTATTATAAATGTATATCATATATGCAGTATAGTAAATTAATGACTGAATTAGAATTCTTTGTTATAAAATAGATGATGTTTAATTTTAATTCATCATTTGTAGTCAATTGCATGAACTATAAAAATATATATTAATGCTATGGTTAAAAACTATAGATTTTATTATTAAAAAAGTTTCAAAAGGTGCCAATCGTGAGACTTAATTATCTTTTCTTTTTTTTTTTTAATTCACAGTCAGGTTAACATGACTTGTCTTTATTATATGAATTTCTATAATATTTACATATTATTTATAACTTTCATATATTAACTTACTTATTATTGAAATTAATTCTCATTACTATTTTGTATTGTTTATTTAAAATTTTTTTTTCTTTTAAAAAAATTCTTTCTTATTTTTTTAAAGAACTTTTGCATAGCTTTTTATATACAGTAACTAATTATGAAATTCATATTAATTCTAAAAATAGTTTTTAAAACTCTTAATCTTGTTTTTATATATAAATTTAGAAATATTAATATAAAAATTTATATCTTACAATTGTATTCGATGATCTTTTTTATTTATTGTATATATTTTTTATTATTAATATATTTTAAATTTTTATTAAATACTTTTTTTATATATTTCAAGTTTTTTTATACTTATATTAAGATATTCGAAAAGGTATTTAATAATTTTTCTTGATTTTATATATACAATAAATTATTTCTAAATAATTTCTGTATTTTGATTTTTTTTTTGAACTTAAATATAGAAAGTTTATGTTTACTAAAAAATTCTTGCTTTTATTATTCATGAAACTTATATAAAATATATATTATAAATTAAATTCAATTTAAATTTATTAATATTAAATTTATTTATAATTCATTCAATTTTAATTCTTTTTTTAAGTTTTGATTTTTTAATAAACTTTAATATATACAGTTTGAGACAAACCATTTTGCTCTTTAATTTTTTATCATAATTTAATAAATAATTATTTAATTAAAATAAAATTTTAAATATATACAGTATGTTGCAAAAGTTTTTGGACTAATATTGCTTTGCAATTTTTATTCATAATTTAATAACCAATAAATAAAATGAAATGAAAATTTATATTT